ATATCCTTGTTCTTGCTTTTCTTAATATACTCATCTGGCAAAAAATATTCCTTCAAAAGCCATTTTTCACTTTGATCTTTTTCAATACCACTTTCATACCTCAAACTTCTCTTATATCCAATTATAATATTTCTCTTTGATTTATCTCTAATGGGAATACCACTTGTTTGGCCACTCCAAGTCCCACTCCCAACTGTTCTTGAGAATCTCTTGTTCGAATTATTGAATTTCTTTAATCGCGTAAGAAAGTAACATGTTTTCTCTCCATCGATAATTTGCCATGGCTCTAAGTCTCCAAATACGTCTTGTATTTTGATAACATCCGGATGTGAAAAAATTCCATCGAACATGAATCTTTTTAGATGATTGATCAACTCTTTATCGCTAGGATGAAATCGAAAACCTAAACTATGCTTAGATCTTGATAATGCCATTTGATTTGTACTTGAGTTTTTTTTTTTTTTGGTATGTGTAAAAAGATCGATGTAATAGAATTTAATTGAATGAAGTGGAGTTTATATAATATGTTAATTAAGCCTAATCTATCTAATATTGGGATAGATAAAATTTGGTAATTAATTCCGTAAGAAACGTAATTACTAAATTTGACCCCAAGTTTTGTAGGGTTATTTTTGTCATTTCAGTAATTGACGGTTTTAGGTTAATTTTTTTGATTTATTGATAAACAATTATTTGTTTCAATATTGGAAAATAAATACCCTTGGTTTTAATTATGTGACCTTTCTTAGATTTCCAAAATCAACTTTTATTTTTAATTGAAAATTTATAACTTTTTTTTTTTATGTATTTATAAATTACATAAAAAAATATTATAAGTCACAATAATTGAAAATTATAAAATACATGAAAAGCGTCATGCAATTTTTTCACTAAAGTTATATAAGAAAAAATGGAAATATTTAAATATAATTATATATATACACTTTTACACAAATTTATGATTTTATTAGTTACCAAAAAAAAAAAATTAACATTGAGACTTGAGCACAAAGATATCAATATTCTATTTGGTCACAAGTGTACGCTCATAATGCATCTTATAGAAAGATGTGTTGTCCATTTGAAATAATAACTCAAAGTTAGCGTAGAAATTCTAAGTTGTTTAGGATTTGTTGTTTTTGTATTACTTAATTAATGTCTAGTTAGAATTTATATGTCCTAATTCTATATAGAATAGATTTTGTAATTCTAATTTAATTTGATTTCTTGCTTTTATAAATAGTATGACTAGTTATACAGAAATATACAAAATAGAGAGAACTTGAATTAAGATTTAAAAACTTTTGAGTTTTCTTTAAAGTAATGGAGGCAAGACTACAGTTTGTGAAATTCGATGACAAGGAAATCAAGCGTCTGCAACTATTATCTGCTATCATAATTTGCAAGATGAAACTTCGCACCGCACACCAAAAAGCTTCTCAGGATTTCGAAAATATTGTCATGGCTCATGGAGATTTCAGACCTCAAGACATGTTAATTGAGAAAAGTACGATCGATGGTAAAGATAATGATGATGATTATGACCACGACGAGGAGGGGGAGAAGAAACTGAGCGGTCTTCTTGATTGCATGGTTTCTGTTTTGAATATATTCCGCAAGTTTCTGCGTCTAACCCTAGTACACAAGAGGTCAAGGTGGAACATCTCAAAGAAGGAAAACAGATATAATACTAGTTAGGATTCTCTTCATATTTTATGTCTTTACGTACAATAATTTTTCTAATCTAGTTAAGTATTATTACTGAATTAAGATTCAAGATTTTCCGAGTTTATAAATAAAATATTTTTTTAATTGATATCAGAGTTTGTACGATCCTCCGACGCACTACTATGACTCACATATGTCACCCGTCTGACCAATGATCCCGAAAAAGATGTTTCCTCAGTATGATCTTGAACCCTAATTAGAGCTATCTTTGATAAGACGACTTTGACGAGACTTAATTTAATTTTCTAATAAATATAGTTGACCTTGAGGGAAATTTACAACAACAAAAAAAAAGAAATTAAATCAAACTAATAAATCCCCCAGCTATATATGAGTTGCATGGAAAGACCCAACTGATCTGAATTTGTCTTCCACATATAAATTTCTTAGAACATCTATTCTAGTAGTTTAATAATCCTATGAAATAGATGGCAAAATAAATAACCTCACTTAATACACATCTAGGTTTAAAATCGCTTGTGTTCGGTATATAAATTAAAAAATATTATGTTAAAAATATTCATATATGATCTAGATAAATATTGTTGGAGGTGGAGGTGGGGTAGGAGTGTGGGGTGGTGGGAGGAAGACACGGGGGTATTAGAGGGGTGGTATTAGGAATATATTGAGGACACGAACAATGTGGAATGTCACAGATGGAACTTGTTTTTCCTACTTCCGATTCATTAAAGAAGTCATTTTCGTCATATTTAAGGAACTCGATTTCGTAAAAAAAAATATTTTTCAAAATTTTTGACTAATCGAACATGAGAAAAATGAAAAACAATCCCCGACTGAATACACCCTTAATCTGAAATGACTCATCAAACTGTTGGATCATAACAAGTTAATTAAAATCTATCAGTTTTTTCTTTTGAAAAAAATATAAAAGGAGGGGAGATTTTATATATATATATATATATATATATAAAAGGTGACTAAGTTATGAACAGTTATTTGACTAATCTTTGATCCAATCTAATTTTATCCAAACAAATTTCAAGCACGTTAGAGCATGATACATTTAACAAATTGACCTGTTCAAATTTGATTCATACAGCCTATTTGCAAACACTATATATATGAAATATACCAAACAAAAAAAAACAAATTATTAAACATTTCAAGCCTCAACTACCATATCTTATTACAACCATAGTTCTCTCATATATATATTCATTTCAATGTTCTTTCTTTTATCATCTTTAGTTAATTAATTTCATCAGTTTAGCTTGTACAACAAATTAACAAACCATATGTTACTGGAAGATCTCAAGGAAAAATAAGATGCTATAACATGTTCAATTCTTGTTGTTGTTAAAAGTATTGAAAATAATCAAGAAAATCCAATGATGATAAGATGGAAATCAGGAAAAAAAGTTGATCCAAGATTGATTATGCTACTACATTTCTTTAGAGAAAACATGTTACTTTCTTAAAGATGTTAAAAAGTTAGCGATAAGCATCATAAATTCATAAATAGAGTAAAGAACTAAATGAAATAAAGAAAGAACGGTATAAAAAGAGCATTTAGTGGCCCATTTCTGCTTCCCGCTGCTACTGCTGTGCAAAGAAAAATTGGGCTTTAGCCTATTTTCGGTCCTGAAAATCCCTGTATACACTGAATGTATACATCTATATATAGGCTGTATTTTGGTCTATTTTCTTGTATATCGGACTGTATACCAAGTGTATACAACCCAGTTCAGCTTCCAAACACTTGTATTTCCGTTTCAGCCCTGTATTTCATGTATACTAAATGTATAAAATCCATTTTTGGACTTTCGAACACCTGTATTAGCTCTATTTCCACCTGTTCATCAACTTCTTTATCTTGGCAATGGGGTTGACTTGAGAAAGGGTAGAGTTGGTCCTCCATAGCCCATTCGGAATGAAAAGAGAAAGGTAATGGAGTTCAATGAACTCACCCGAAGTCACATGAACATAGCAAGAAGATGGATTATTAGCCTTTATTCATGAAGATGAATATTTACAAATGAGCTAAATTAATCACCAGAAAAGTTAGGCATATTAATGGCATAACAAGAGTAGCAACAACCAGAAACCAGCATTCCAACACTCATATATACACATTCAAGTTACAATCATATTGATAACTGGAAACCAAAATTGACACGAGAAAGGAAGATTTAATGAAAGGGGAAGATGTATACCTTTTCCGGAGCAGCAAACCTGGACGGCGAGCAAAGGAAACGACGAGCTTCCACCACCAACGAAGTTTTGCCAGAAAAGCTTGAATGAAAACTTCAAGGGCAAAACCTTGAGACAAAATTTGAACCTTCAAGTTTTTGACTATCTAAACCGATTTCTTTATAAAAGAAAATGTCTTGGATTTGTGTAAAATTAGTAGTCTAACACCAAATTATAATAAGAGGCCTTAAATACACATACACAAAAATATTATTAATTTAGGGTTAACCTTTTTTGTTCTTACATAATTGTGTTTAGTGTTTAACTTTATATGGTAATATTGTTATTTATAAAGCAAAAAATTAGAAGAGATTAGACATTTCTTTGCAATATATTGTGTTGCATTCGATCCCCTTCATCGAAAAAAGAAGAAGATAAATATAAGGATGAGCTATCCATATAAGATTTTATTGTGTATACATAACTAACCATTGAAGACAAATAAAAACCAAAAATAGGGATGATCAAGATAATAAAAGAAGAAATTGTATTAAAATTTTAGAAAAAACTACTCATGCAACAATTTGTCTGCAACCGCAAATTCATATTTTTCTAAAAGAAAATTATTCACATTCAAGCTATTATAAGTTTATAACCTAATAAAAAAAAAATTACAACCTAATGCAACAAAAAAAAAAAAAAACTTGATAGCATTGCTATTTGCATGCTTATAAACATTAAAATTCAATCATTTCCAATACAGACTCAATACTTGAATTCTCATATGGATTAATTCCATTAAATTGCTCAACTTCACCTAATTCTCCATAATTGTTTAATGTGCTTGTACTTGCTTCATAATTACCCTCTAATTGATTGTCATTATCGTTGCTAATTACTTGATCATAATTACCGTCAAATAGATGATCCACTAATCCATCAACATCTTCATCCTTAACATCATCATCATTATTATTTTCCTCTTCTTCTTTTTTCTTCTCTTTAATTCTACAAATGACGAAAATATCCTTGTTCTTGCTTTTCTTAATATACTCATCTGGCAAAAAATATTCCTTCAAAAGCCATTTTTCACTTTGATCTTTTTCAATACCACCTTTATACCTCAAACTTCTCTTATATCCAATTATAATATTTCTATTTGATTTATCTCTAATGGGAATACCACTTGTTTGGCCACTCCAAGTCCCACTCCCAACTGTTCTTGAGAATCTCTTGTTCGAATTATTGAATTTCTTTAATCGCGTAAGAAAATAACATGTTTCTCTCCATCGATAATTTGCCATGGCTCTAAGTCTCCAAATACGTCCTTTAGTTTGATAACATTGGGACGTGGAAAAATTCCATCGAGCATGAATCTTTTTAGAAGGTTGATCAACTCTTTATCGGAATCGAAAACCTAAACTATGCTTAGATCTTGATAACGCCATGTTATTTACAATTGTATTGAGTTATAGAATTTAATTGAGTTTATATAATATGTTGATTAAGCCTAATCTATCTAATATTGTGTTAATTAAGCATAAGCCATCTAGTGTTCGGATAGTTGGCGGCATTATACAAGTGTTAATTAAGCCTAATCCTCTACATTTTTTTTAATTACCAAATTTGACTACTAATCCTCTAAATTTTTGTTAATTACCAAATTTGACTATTGACAGTTTTCAGTTTGCTTTAACCCCAAGTTTTTTTTGATTTTTTTGATAAACAATTATATTTGTTTCAATACCGGAAAATAATACCCCTTGGTTTTAATTATTTTGAGTATCAAATTTAATTTTTAGCTGAAAATTTATCATTTGATTTTTTCTTAATGTATTTATAAACTACATAAATACAATTCAAAAATTATTTGAAATACATGATGCATTTTTTTCACTAAAGTGATATGAAAAAAAGTGCAATCTAGCAGTATTTTTTGTTTAGTTTTTAAAATTTTGAAATATTAAATCTAATCCAATTTAATTTTAAAAATTAGTCAAATTAATTCTAAAAGGAACTTAAACGTGACAATATTTGGAACGAAAGGACTAATGAATTACCACATGTTTAAATTACATGACTATTTATATTTTTGAAACCATGCAAATTAATTTTAAAAGTTACATTGGACTTAATCATATATTTAATCATTAACGTGTTTTTTTTTTAATTTGTGGTATATGAATTTCCTTACAACCATACACAAGATAAGGAAAACTATCTTATTAGACATACATGCATGCCATATATATTAATTCACCATATATTTTTACATAATTTACGTATCTTACTATTAATTAAGAGTTTCTTATCATACATTGAGAAAGATACATGTATTTTTACAATCAGATACAATAAAATAAGGAATTTTGCTACCATATACACTAAAATAAGGATAGAGGAGAGCGAGATAGGGAGGGAGGTTAGCGAGAATATGGGGAGGGAGATAGTCATGTATCAAGATATATGCAAATGCACTAGATACACATTCGATACATGTATATGTATGTATCTGGTATGATTCACATGTATCTGGGACACCAGATACATAGAAGAGTCGCGAGCAAGATGTGAGGGAGGCGAGCGATATTTGTTATGTATCTCAAATACATGTGAATTCACTTGGATAGAGTGTATATAGAACAAATTACACGTATTCTGGAAGCACAAAAATCTTGTAAGATTCATAATATTGCAAATTAGAGTGTATCTAAGTAATTAATTCTTGAGGAACTTTCGCAAATAACCACTACAATAAACTTAATTATGCTCCATAGTTATAGTTTGCATATTTACGGATTGTAGCTACAGTTTAAGTTGTCTCGTTTGTATAATTCATGGATTTGTTTAATTCGCGGGTACATTTGTATAATTCAGTTATTTTTGTATCAACTCGAAATAACGAATTTAAACAATTACAAACATCAGAAGTGTAAGCAGTTATACAAATTATATTATATAAATACTGAATTATTCAAAAGTTATACAAATTATATTATTCAAATTCCGAATTACACAAACATAAGAATTATACAAAATTTAAAAACTGAGACGCGTAATTATAGCTAAAAGTAGGTCACGAATTGTAATTAAAGAAAATTATAGCTATGTTAAGCAATTAACTAGTATATATTGCTTATATGCGTAATTTAGACTTAATTCTTAAACTAGTGGGATTTCCGTAAGTTTTCTAAAAGATATATAAGAGACGATTACAAATAGTTCACGGATGAATTTGGAGACTATATTTCAGGCCCAAACACAAATGAATATAAAGATGGGCCATACATAACCCAAATATGGGCCTAAAGAAAAGAGAATAATGAGCCTATATACAAACCAGCTTTTACTATTTATTATTAAAATTGATATACATATAAATTATACACTAATTATATATACTAATTGGCTCTTTTTTAATCTAAAAAATTAGATGGGCGGTGGTTTAGATTGATAATCATGGTGATTATCTCTTCACCAAAGAATTAAATATTAAGCAATATGATTAGTGGGTCCATTACCCAATTAGAGTGTCAATTCAATTAAAACAAAAACTTATCTACACCATTTGCATTAACTAGAAAAAAATGTATCTCTTGCAATTTGCTTAAAGTTAAAACTATTTTAATAACTCAATGCTGCAATCATAAGTGTCCCAAAGTTAGTGGTACTCACTAAAATCATTTAAAAGTTAGATTATTGTCATTTCTTATACATGGGACCAAATATATATAAGTCCATAAGCCCATTGGATTTAAAAACAAAAAAATGAAATAAAAATGGAGACCCCATTATTTCCATTTTCTTTCCTCTTTTCATTAAAAAATTGTATCATCACAATAAATAATTTAATATTATTAGAGTAGTTTAATTTGTTATAACAACAGACAAAATATAGTAGGTGATTCTTCTCATCTGTCTTAGTTTTGACGGACATAATTATCTGGTACATGTTGTTGGTGGGAGGTGGCAAGTATCTCATTAAATTAGTCGAGGTGCACAAAAGCTAGTCTGAACACCACGATCATAAAAAAAAATTGTTATAGTGGATATTCACTAATTTTCATGACTACTTGTCAATATAATTGTGAAGCGTTAACTATTTTAAAAGTGATTTGGTCGTATAAATATTTTTATGTTATTGTACAAGGATTACGTATAAATATATATCATGTATTTATTGACTTATGGTAAACACCAAATATTGATCGTGTAGAATGATCATCACACCAAGTGATCACCTAATAAGATACAAGTAATTGCTAGAAACAATCTATGCCCAAACTTGTACTTTGTCTTTTCTCTTATAAAATATTTTTTGGGAAAACAATTCGAAATATATCCGAATTTTAATCGAAATTGGTGTAATAATCTCAAATTTTAGGCAGGGCTTGTTACTCCATGCACTATTTAATAGTGTATTTTAAAGATATATATGTGTTTACGTGGACATCATAATTATTGCATCATTATAAATAGTAATTGGTCCAGCTTGACACTTATATATCTTTAAAATACACTATTAATTAGTGTGCGG